AGTCTGGCTTACATAGGAAGCCTCACAATCCTTGCAGTTAATTTTGTAGACAACAAAAGAACAAGAAAGAGGAGGTATAGGATCTTTTAGTATCTTAATGAACCTGGACAATTTATTGAGACTGTAAAAAGCAGGATGTGTGTCAGTCTCTCTAGGAAAAGTTGACAAAAATTTCTCAAAGAAATTCTGTATGTAAGGCATCACAAATCAACGAGAAGATTTTTCATCAAGGTTATTATTAGTCAAGAAGATCATCTTTAAGTCATTATTCTTTAAAAAATTGTATTTGAGTTTTTTTTAAAAAATGTTATAAATAAAGTCAAGGGAGTAATTATTGTCAATAAGTATGTTAATAACGTAGTCAAAGTTTTTCTTATGGAAGTCAGGATGAGATAAAAAGAAGGCTCTATCAATAAGACCTATTACTGTGCCTTTTTTCTGGCTAATTGGGTGGTTAGAATAGAAATTAAGGTATCTGCCAGAAAAAGTCGGCTTGTGATACCAGTCATGTATTAAAAAATTATTTCTCTTGATTATGGTGATGTCCAGAAAATTTAGTTTGTTATAACCCACCTCTATGGTGAATTGAAGACGAGGATGGTAGGAGTTAAAGAGACGAAGGACTAAGTCAAACATAATATTTTTATCCATTGTTGTAGATACATTGCACTGCAATAGGTTTTATAAAATAATAACTTAAATAAATAATAAATGAAATGTATAGAATAAACTGATAATGAGTAGATAAGAAAATTACATTTTAGTAAGCAACAAGTGGTCTTGTGGACTGAGTGCAGGGGCTACGAATATAAAGATCTCGAGTTCAAATCCTACCATCACTTTTTTTCGAGTCCCCGTATCTTTCATCAAATTAATCAGGTGATCGGTAAACTGAATCCAGGCCTCTAAAGATTAATTCGAGTGAAAACTCGAATTAATTTCTTCTGTTACAAGGCGATGTGTCATTGATTTTTTGTTGAATATATCACCGTAATATTGCTGTGATGCATTTTGGCGGACATTTTAATATTACTGTGATATTACATTAATATTACGGTAATATTTCTAATATATTAGTATATTAGAATGTAATATTGCTATGGAAAAACAATATTACTCTGTGATATTGCAATAATATTACGTGCTATGTGGGATTATATCGTACGATATTTTTTTTTTTTTTTTTTTTTTTTTTTTTTTTTTTTTTTTTTTTTNTTTTTTTTTTTTTTTTCTTGAGTTCCCTCGGATATTCTTAATGTAATATCACAGTAATATTAAAATGTCCGCCGAAATACATCACAGCAATATTACGTTAATATATTTTAAAAAAATCAATAGTACATCGCTTTGTACAAAGAAAAATTAATTCAAGATTTAACTGGAATTAATTTTTAGAGGACTGATTCAGTTTACCGATCAACTGATTAACTCGATAAAAGATACCGGAACCCCATAGACGTAGAATGTATAGACTGCGCGTTCCCTACCTTTGCCATGTTAAGAAAATGTCTTCAACATTGAGAGACAGCTGGTGTTGAACAGTAGCCTCATCTTTGTCTAGCGAAGTAGTGAGGGAAAAATAAGTCTTCGCTGATTGATAGAATAGTCGTGGAAAAGTGGAGATAGAAAAATAGTGGGGATGAAAAGGAGCAAAAGAGATTAAGGGGTAATGGCAGGTTAAGTGGTATGAAACAGTAGGCCCTGATCCCACCACGGACATTGATAGACAGAGAAAAAGTTACTGTTCAAAGTATGTTGTCTCTGTCAGCCATGAAGACATCTTTTCAGCCAACCGCGCAGTCTATATATTCTACGTCTATGCCGGGATCCGAAAAAAATCCTAAAATGATGATAGGATTCGAATTCAAAACCTTCATATTTGTAGTCCCTGTACTCAATCCGCGAGACCACTTGTTTCTTACTGAAATGTAATTCTTTTATCTACTCATTATCAAGCTATTCAACACATTTCATTTATTATTTATTTAAGTTATTATTTTATTAAAACTATTGCAGTGCAATGTACTTACAATAATAGATAAAAATATTTCTCTTATTATTAATATAACTTTTTTTAATCAACTGTATTCAACTTGGCTAAATAACTACAAACCATATACTTTAAATTTATGATAGAAAATTAAATCAGAAACGGATAAAGAAATTGTTTTTCGCACCGGCAACACTTCCTATATGTCTTTTTTTAATCAACTGTTTTGAAACTTCGCACAAAATAAATACAAACTCTAGGGTAAAGGTGCCTATTATGAGATGGCCGTCTAATACGAGATAGCGAGCTATTTCATGTAAACAGCTATAAATTCAAAACTGCATATTTTTAACATATCACTTACCTAAAAACATCAAACCTTTTGTTAGTGTCGCTCATTGCCGAAGGTGGCGTAATATCTGCGAGGGAGTTGTCGTTGTCGCGCAGAGAAAAAAATAATCATTATATTGAGTTGAAAGGCCGATCCGAGTAAAATACAAGTTGGTCGTGTATCACAAATAGTCTTTATTAAATTCAACAGACGTTTCGGTCAATGGTTTAGACCTTCATCAGTGTATAGAAATGTGATTTGAAAAAGATAACACGCGAGCAAACAGCATCCAAAACAGTCGCACAGGACACAGTGTACTGTACACAGTGTCCTGTGCGACTGTTTTGGATGCTGTTTGCTCGCGTGTTATCTTTTTCAAATCACATTTCTATACACTGATGAAGGTCTAAACCATTGACCGAAACGTCTGTTGAATTTAATAAAGACTATTTGTGATACACGACCAACTTGTATTTTACTGCTCGGATCGGCCTTTCAACTCAATCTCTTGACAATTTCACGAGCGAATCAACGAATAATCATTATACTCTTAAGGTACCTGAAGGTATGTATCTGACACTTTTATTTCATAGGTCCCACTGTCATTTCAATTCACTTAAATGTACACATCCATTATAAGTGATTTATCATGTAGTTTTGTCAATTTATTGCATACTTTGTCTTTATAACCTTAAATTTTCTCCAATTTTATAATTCCCTAATATGAGACACGCAGCCGCTCTTAATATGAGGTATCACATATTAGGAACTACTAGGAACTCAAGTTCTTTATTGTGTTAAGTTCTTTGACACAAGTTCTTTGAGAAATGTAACGTTTGTTTTAAATGGACTCATGTACATTGTGGTTAAGTAAAATCTGAGAAGTTTTTCTGCGCCGTTTGTTATAATCTTTAAATAAGTGTTTCACAGTTTATAACTTGTTTTTTGTTATAAAACTTATAAACTTTAATTTAGTTTTGTCGTAAAGAAAGAAATTTAATTTTGAAGTTTTTAGTTTTTTTATTTTTTGTTTTCATTTTATAATATCTAACCATATAACTTTAATATGATACTGTTGCGAGATGCGGCGCGTGTCGTCCACGGAGTATAAGAAGATGTTCGTCGAACGATCGATCGCTTGGATGCTTTTGTTCGGGTAGCAACGGGGTTGTTTACGGCGAGGTTCAAAGAAGAGTGAGCCGCCGGATTCGGAATCGTCGACAGGCTGGATCATCGGCTCGAGATTTCTTTACGTTTTCCGTGACCTTTTGTAACGCGTTCTCTAATAAAA